AGCGTCGAGCGGCCACCGGAGCCGCGGCGGGAGGTGAGTGAGCGGCGCGCCCCTCGCCGCCCTGGCCGCCTTCCTTCTCCTCGGCCCCGGGCCCGCGCCCGGGGACCCGGCGCCGGTCCCCAGAGACGCCCCCCATCCCCCGCATGTGCCCGGGCTGCAGACTTTGACGGAGTCGGCGCGGGGCCGGCTCCGGACCTCCCCGCGCCCGAGCCTGCGCTCCGGGGCCGCCCCCACCCAATGGGCTCCGTCCCGCGGCCCCCGCGAGGGTCTGGGCGGGGGTTCTCTGCCGCTGCGGAGGCCGGTCTGGGCGATGTGGGGCCTTTTTGTTCTTAGCTGTGTCACGCGCGTCGGCATCCAAAGTCAAAAGCGTGCATCCCCGAAGTCGCACTAGTGCCAGTCCTGCGGGCGTGATTGGCACGAGCCGAGGGAGGGCTGGCCGCGCCGCTCACCTCCCTTCCCCTCCTCCGCCCAGGCGCGCTCGGGCCCGCCGGTGCCCACGTTGGCAGCGGGCGCGTCCTGGCAGGTGACGGGGAGCTTGGCGCCGGGTCCTGGGCCGCGCGGCGGGAGCACCTCTGGAGCCCGTCTCAGGGATGCTCCGGGCCCCTCTCATAGCTCTATTTCTCACCTTTGGCAGAGTGGAGGATCCACAGAACTCCTGCTCTGCCGTAGATATGGTCTGCTGAGTTTATACACTCTGTATTTCACACTATTTTTAATGTTTTTGTTTTTGTGTAAAAATAGGAAAAATACGTACTTTGGTGAATGTTCTTTTTAGCGGAATTTAAGAATCATTATGTTCGGAATGTCATAATAATGCTAGTCATTTTCAGATGTCTTATATCCAAATTTGCATAACTAAACTTGTGTGGCTTTTGGGGGTTTGAGATTTCCTTTGTCTGGTTTGGGGTCTCCAAGGCTCTATAGCCCTAAGTTTTGCAAATGTTGAGGGACATTCCCAGGGGCGGATTATTAACATGTTCAATAGCCTGATGAAATATTTAACAGCTCTGGAGTGACTGTGTTTGGCCCATGGCTGTCAGATTGACTCAAATTTAGTCAGTTTTAGTATTTCTGAATTTTTTGGAGGAGACCTGGAGAGCAGTGGAATCTCTCCGCGGTCCTTGTGGGTCTCTTAACGCATTCTAGCTCCTCCTGCTTGTGTTATAAAAGATTAAGCTAAGTTCATGCTTTTGGGAAGAATAATTTTACTTCCTTTGTGAATAGAAATCAGTAACTTGTTAAGACTTACTGTTCTTAGGCCAGAACTCAATTTTTAAAGTGTCAGTCTTCAAAAAGACGGTTATCTTTTTAAGACGTATTTTGTTCTCCTATGGAGAGGTTGTCACATTTTTTCATCGGTTTTGCTCAAAAATGAAAGACCAAGGATGGGAGGAAGGAGTGGGTCAGACTGCAGTGACATCGCTGTTAGGAGCTACGATGCTGTCTGCTTCTAATTGCTGACCACAGACAAGATTCTGCATTTACGTTGTTTTCCAAGGGATGGGGCAGAAACAGTAGTGGGGATGGTTGACCGTGTCAGGCCCAGGGCTACCTGCAGTCTGTCTGTGTGGCCACCTTCCCCCAGCAAGGTGGGAACTGCTGACCTTACTGAAAATCCTGTGAAAGTGCAGGCTGGCTTTCTGCGTCGAAGCACAGAAGGGTAGAAGGGCAGAACCTGGGGAAGCTGCCTGTGCAGGCAAGAGTTGGAAGGGTGGGTGTCTCCTCCAGCAGGCTGGGCTGTGCAGGGGAGCAGGGCCCCAGACGGGCGCTTCAGTGAGATGGAGCTTGAGGGCAGTGAGGTCCCCCAAGACCAGACTGGGGTGGTGGGGAGGGAGGCAACGACAGGGGATGAGGGGCCTGGTTCCTGGGGCTTTAATTCAGTTGTATTATTGTTATTTTTTATTTTTCTTTAGAAAAAAATAAGTTGCCTTAGGAAAAGATTCATTTCTTTTTTAATGACCTAACGTGAGAAATAACAGCCATAATTTAGATAAAGAAAAAAGCACTCTTTTTTTGTAAAAAACTAACAAAAAAAGCTTTGTTAAAATTTTTCCTAAACATTTGCAGAAGTAGAGGGAATGGTCTTGATATACTTTGGCTCCACCTTAGAAAAGTCTGAATGGTATTTCACTTGCCCCCTCGCAAAAAAACGTTCTTAGGTTGTGGTCGTTTTCTAGACTTTTCAGGTTACTGCTGAGATTACATTAAAAGAGAGACTTGGGGCCGGCCCCGTGGCTTAGCGGTTAAGTGCGCGCGCTCCACTACTGGTGGCCCGGGGTTTGGATCCTGCACACGCACCGACGCACGGCTTCTCCGGCCATGCTGAGGCCGCGTCCCACATACAGCAACTAGAAGGATGTGCAACTATGACATACAACTATCTACTGGGGCTTTGGGGGGTAAAAAAAAAAAAAAGGAGGAGGATTGGCAATAGATGTTAGCTCAGAGCTGGTCTTCCTCAGCAAAAAGAGGACGATTAGCATGGATGTTAGCTCAGGGCTGATCTTCCTCACACCAAAAAAAAAGAGAGACTTGGCTTGAAGTTTAAGAAGTGTTTCCCAAATTCTCAGAGAGTCTACTTTGCTTCACACAGAAATTTCCCACACTTTCAGCAAAAAAAAAAAAAATGCCTTCTCAAAATTTTGTCATTTTGATCTGATTTTTTTTTAAAACCTTTCAGGGCTGTATTCACAGAACTTGCCCTAGCTGAGATTTTGAAGATTAAAAGGAAAAAAAATATGTGCAAATACTATATAATATGATTATAGTGATATATATTGTAATTTGCTGTGGTTTCCAAACTTTCTTGGTCGTTCTTATTAGTAAAGATTTTAGCACTCTCGTGTGTGTGTGCGCGCGCGCCCGCGTGTGTGTTACTTGTTGTCTTGTGTCTCAAGGCCCAATACACTTAGGGCTGGATTCATTGTCAATGACAGTGGAGGTAAAACGCTGTTTCAAATACTCTTTCTTGAATTTGGAGTATTTTTGGCCTATTTTCTTGTCGGATTTGATTACACCATCGTAGTTTTTACTTTGTGACGTGGCTCGTGCACAGCTGACTCAGGATGAGAAGAAGCATGCGCTTTGCCAATTGTGGTCTTGAGTTTGCCTGTGCTTGCATTTATTAGTATAACTAATTTGTGCTTTTTATAGGATCTTACAACTTCATGTCTTTTGTAAGGTTTAGTTTAGTTATAATTTGCCAATCTACCCTGCTGTGCGTGTGCCAACAAGATATGTTGCGTTGTGCTGAAGGTGAAGGAAAGAGAGTGGGTGGCCCCATCAGACCTCCCCTCCCTGCTGAGGCACCTCAGAGGGTGGGGACATGTGACCCTCGACTGAGGGACTTAGGGTGCAGAGTCAGTTTCTACTTTATTAGCACTGTTAGTATTTTATGGTAGTATAATATAATTAGTATTGTGTAACATAGTATAAAATAATTAGTATAATTAGTATATACATAATATATATTTAACTTATTTGTAATATGTATATTACTAAAACATAGTTTTTACCCTATTTTTTGGATAAAAATAAATGTTACTTCTAGGCTTTTCTTCCCCAGCCCAGTGGAGCATCCTGTGCCCCCTCTGGGAGGTGTGTGCCCTGCTGTAGACAGCTGGTCTCTTACTTCAGCCTCAGATAATTCTTCCATTTGATCCTCAGAGGGACCCCATGAAGGCAGGTATAATTGATCTCCCCCTCCCCCTTTTTTTTAAATGAGGAAACTGAGACTAAAAAAGGGTCCATACCAGAAAAGTAACACCACAGCAGTTCCTTTCATTGAGTATTTACTTGGGGGCAAGTGCTTCCCTGGATGTCTGTTTAGTTTCACCCCAGCTTTAGGAGACTGACCCCAAGTTATCCCTTTACAGTGAGCCCCGGAGGTTGGAGAAGACGAGTGACTGCCCTGTCACCTAGTTAGAGACGGGGCCTCACACTCCACTACCTCTCCTCTCCGTTACATGCCCAAGGCTCAAGACGGGAACCTGGGTTGTCTTTGTGTCCCTTGAGGACAGAGATGTTTCTGGCCATCTCTGTGTCCCCAGTGATGGGGTCCAGCACAGAAGAGAGCCTTGGAATGAGTTCGGTTTTTTTCTCTACTTCTCGATATAGACATATGGTCTAAACATTTTGTTTTAGAGGAAGCTGTAAAATACTCTGATTTAATCTTGGAATGCTAGAAATACAGTTTCAAAACTAGCCAATGTTACCATTATATACCTTCCTTACATCTTAATTTTTTATTGTTAACTGTTTGGCTTTTGTATTAAAAATATACTCATTGAGGAAAAAAAGATTGTATAGAGTAAAAAAATGAAAGCGTCATTCTTTGTCTTCCTCTCCTCTCTACAGTCTACTCTCATTTACTACAACTTGTATGTATCCTTCCTCATAAACATTTGCTATACATTTTCTGTGGATAGAAAAATATATTCATTTATTGAGTGTCTTAAAATTTTTTCAGCAAAAATGGGATCGTATGGTAAATACTACTTTGCAACTTTTTTCACTCAACAATTTGTATTTTATCTATTGTTCCATAGCACACCATCTCCTGGCTTAAAAACACCATTTTATTATTGCTCGTGAGTCTGGGTTGCCTGGCTCGGCTGAGTGGTTCTTTTGCTCCACATGGTGTTGGTGAGGGCTGCAGTCTTTTGAAGCTCATTTAGGCTTGACTTCAAGATGACTCACTGGCTATTATCAGTTCTTAAAAGTATTGCCTTGGTGAATTCTTAGAAGGGACAAAATTTTAATATGCTAATGATTGATTTAGAAAAAAACTTTTTCACTACATTTCTCTGATTTCAGGGCTGTCAGAACTGCAGGGTCTAGCCCGTCATTTCTTGCTCTCTCTCATTTATATCTGTGTGGCAGATGGGTTGCTCCTTATCTTTGCTTCATTTTTTCTGTATCAGGGAGGGTGCTGTATAAAGCTGTGCTGCTCTGCACTTAGTGATCATTTCATTCTGACTAAAGAAGAGGGACCTTGTCCACACTCCATCAGTGACTTTGATTGAGATGCTCAA